TGATGCCGACTACGATGCCGGAGAAACGTTTGAGAATGTACCAAGTCCACTGTCTGATGCTGGGAATCATAATTATTATTACAGACGACTTTGGGCTAGGTACGTTCTACTAAGTAGCCCTGACAACAAGACCAAGTTGCGGCAATGAGGTCAACCAAATTCTTGCAAAAGATGTGGATTTTGAATTTTATGATGCTCTGAAAAGAAAGTGGATGCTATAAAATAGCCTTTAAAGGTTAATATAGGATAGCCATATAATTTCAGAATAGGGAAATTTTGATGAATGTTTTACTGGCTAAGAGTCATGTATATCTAAGCCAAGGGTAGGGAGGCAAAGTATCTGATTTTATATATTGAATGCAGCCTCTTATAAATGCTATTGATGATGGTAGCATTGATGATGGCAGAAGTAGCGAAGAAGAGTGGCAGGGAAGTTGGATAAGAATATATAAGTAGTCACAACTATGATGGTAATTATGTCAAGTGTTAAACTGTTTGAGGCATTAGTATTATCAATTTGGTAAATTTGGAGGAGAATTGATATATTAAGACAAAATTGCCAGTTTGAACTATTCCAATTGGTCTATGTAGGAAAGTGGAGAGCTGTATTTATTTTTAAATGAATACTAGTCCAATTTTCAAGTAATGGAGCTTCTGCTACCAAGGTTCTCTTTGTCAGAAGGCTTAACAAAGACGGTTGTTTTGACGTAAGGTAGATCTGTAACGAAAGTTATCGACACAAGTGAATATAATCATTTGGCATATGTTTCGATTGAATAACTAATTTAGTAGAGGCTTTTCAAAAAATAAAAGTTTAGCTCAATTTTTGAGGTGAATCATATCTATCTCAAGGTATATAATGGCTTCCTGAGTAATATCAAACAAGCATCAACAATTTATTACCAATTATAGGGGAAAGGCATTAGCTTTTGTAACTTTAGTATAGTTTCTTGCAATAACTTTGCACCGAAGATACGAAAGGAATTGTTTTTTTTCATTTGTTTCTAACTTATACAAGGGGCTGTTAATTGAATAATCATCTGCAAGCCTCTTGTGTAAGTAGTTATTTATTTTAGCTTTTATCGAGCGGATCGTGAATTGTAAATCTCACTCTGCACACACCAGGTTGGTCTGGGTTCATTTCAGGTCACCTTTGTGCGTGTACATTGGTACTAGGGCGAGCCTGTCTGCTTACGAGAGTATAAGAGAGTACACTGAATTTAAGCTTTTTCAATGACTCAATGATTCTGCAAACCAAGTTTCATTCAGCCGGCCCTAAGACTGCCCAAGCTCTTGGTAAAAGAAAATAATTTAACCGGTGATTTAGACCACTTTCACTAGTTCTCGTGTGCTGGCTACATCCTAGAGTTAGTTCCGGCGAAAAGTGAAGCCTTGTACAACCGAGCCTGACTTTCCAAATGAAGAGGCTACTGCTTGAATCCGGAGAAGAGGAGGATAAAGAATCAAAAGCGATTGAAGAGGAGATGGACGAAGAAGCCCAGCTGTGGTACTATCGTGTTACCTATCTCCACTGCACTCATGTTGATTCGGCCGTCATGCGTCAACTGACTCGATCCGAGCTGGCCGTGATCATCAAAGGCTTTACTGAAATGCCAAACTACGGTGACTACAGCCTAATTGGGCGGAAGACTCGTCTTCACCTTCGGCCCATTGAGGCGACCAGTAACCGAGAGGCTGAGATCGCCTACGACCGACTGGACGGCCTGGCGAGATGCACACTGTTTGACCTACGCGTTCTCATTGTCCTGGAGACAATGGACGGTTGCAACTCCTACCGACTGCACGCTGTACAGCTGAACACCTCCGGCGAAGTGGAAGAGCTGCTCGAGTTGCTGGAAGCGCCAAAACGTCGACTCATTTGGCGCTTTCCCGACGACGAGGTGAACCGGACCGTCAGCCAGACCAGTCATGCCTCAGTGTCAACCGACTCAAGCAGATTGACATCCATCCTTGCCGGTCGACTCAGCCGACCGAAGGCATCAAGAGTCTTCTCGTTGCGTCGACTCACCAGTCATGTGTTTGGCGCTCCTGTCATTGGTCCCATGCACTCGCTTCTCGCCCACAACTCTTCAGGCAGCCTCCAGTTGAATGGTGGGATGGCCTGTCAGCTGGTGCAACTCCTGGCCATGGTTGAGCTCTCGGACAAACAACAGGCTGAACTGACACCGTCCAGACTGGACGATTTAATCACACGACACCTAAAGGAGGCCGAATCGCAGGCCTTGCATGCAACAGACGATTGTATGGGTGCTCAGCATGCTATGATACTGAAGAGTAAAGGCATTGGCTTGACTCGGCAAATATTGCTGCTACCACGGAGGTTGGAACTATTCATCCCCTTCAAACGGATCGACCAACTATACAAATTCAGTCAAAACGCCGATTCTGAAATGTATGTACTGGTTGTCAATGAGTGGAACCAGGAAGCACAGTTAAACATGATGTATCTACTGGGATTCTCAGATCTCGAGCGCCGTGATGTACTGACAGACCTGGTGACTAAGCTGGTACTGGAGTATCAGTTCAACTCGAAGCAGATGAGGCGTATCTGCAAAGCTCGAGGGCTTTCTGGAAACGCAGAGCTAGTTAAGGACGGATTGCTTTGGCGATTTGGACAGAAGAAGACGTATGCGAGGCGCAAGATGTCGTCCTTCAACTAATCGAGCTCTTACACGTGTATATAACAGCTTCACATCTTACAATGTCAATTGAGGAGTAAAAGGATAGGCAGCAACAAGGAATCGAAGGAAATATAAAAAAATTGCGGATCTGCAGAGTTTTGCAAAAATTGGCTTAACCTAGCACTAAACTCTCGCTGGGTTTAAACAGAATAATCGCTTGAGGTAGCCACTTTGATATGGTATGGTCAGAAGAGATTAATTTTTTCTCTTTCATTATTTCATTTACTTTACTGGCAGAGGTTAAGGTAATAAAAAGGTTTTTGTTTTATCTTGATTTTGTATATAAATAGATTACTAAGCATTCTATGTATGTACATATACACATTTAAATATACTAATTCATGCAAAGTCCATGTATATACACCTTTTTTCGAAGCTTTGACGGAAAGCTGCATTTTACTTGAAAAATGTATGAAAGCTCTTGGAATAAATGCATGCATAGTTGTAGTTACACTAACCCTATTTCAACTAACCTTGCAAAAGCTTTCCCGTTTATGTAGTGTATTCATTATTATTTCAGGTACTATCCCAACTGTTTGCACTATTTAGAGAAATGAAAGCTGACGCGATAAGTAAAAGATGCTCTATAGAATATTGACGCGAGACGTTATCGTTTGATGGTATCCTCAGTAGCAGAGTCTAAACCTAACTTTATCGTGTCTCTAAATCATTAAAGAAGAATTCCTATAAAAAGGGAATTTATCTATTGGATTTGGCATTACTTTACTACCTAATTTAGCACTCTTATGTAGAACTGACGCGAGTTTTTACCTCACTTCCTTACAGCAGTATTCTAACCCGGACGATCATGCAATACTTCAGGTCATAAAAGCGATTATGCAAAAATGACAAATGCCTTTAATTTTTATGTTACAGACAGTAAAGTTTAAGAGCCTATTTGGTGTAAATGCTTACTTGATTGAATATGAGTTCTGAGCTGAGCTGAAACCGCGGCTGACCCATAAAGTAAAAGTATTTTTTATCAAATCAACTAGCTTCATCTAATTCACCAATCAGATATTCACACTGAAGGTCTTGATAGGACCTGCTGAGTGTGATAGAATGAATAAAATAACCGTAAATAAAGTAATGTACTGCTAAATGTATAGGGAATCCCGCCAGTGTGCTTTTTTTATCATAACAAATCTTATCGAATTTGAAAATGTCAGGCATTCTGTGATCCTTCAATTTCATTATTAGATATCATTATATTCAAACTTTTTCTAGCATACATTACAAAAATATTTACTCCTTTTAACTCCCCTATATTATTTTAGCCCGTCTCTATGTCATTTCGTATTTAACTAATTCCGAATTATATAATTTGCCGTCTTCGTTAACAAAGTCTATTTTGCTTACTCAAATTAAATCTATAATTTTTTTTTCTTTTTTACTTATTTCATTCTGCTTGAATGCTTATACATTTTGTATGGCTTACTAGTTGTGCTTCAAGTACATGCTATTACTCTTATTTTTTGCATTTTTATTAAAGGTAATTTAACATGAGCTTTTACTTTTAGGCCTCATTTGTAGTTCTTTCTCCCCAAAGTAAATAAATTATTAACCCTGCCATGAAACATTCATGTTCAGACACATTTACAATCTTTTTATCTTTATTCTACCTTAGCCCATATTTTCTTATTGGACCTAGTTTAAAATAAGAACTTAGTTCTCTTGGGTTGCTTAAGATGAGAGGTGATAATAAGGTCTCCGATAATGAGATGAGTAGGTCTAAGGATGTAATTCAGTTTTTTTTGAAAGTTTTTCTACCAAAATGCTATCTTATCTAGAGTTGACTGCAGTTTCTACCTCGCTTAGGTCTCATCAGCACCACCAGTGGGATTCGATAATGGTAAGGTGGTAAGGTGGCGAAGTTACCCCTCTACTATACCCAGGACGGGTATGATATTCAAGGTTTTGTTAGGGCTTTTTATCTCATTGTGGCAAAGCTGAACGAGCAGTCTCCAAATCACCTCAAAAGACTTTAGGACTAGTTTCTCATTCAATAATTACTGATATTCTCGAAATCGACTTATACCGAAAATACATTTTAGAGTACTTTTCCGTCTAAGTTACATAGTCCCAACTATTTTTTTGTTTTATAGTTTTTGCCAGTTTGAGAGAAATATGCACATACTGCCTTAGTAAGTATCGGTTTTGCTTTTTCACTTTGGAACTATTTAACCCAAAAATAGCATTTGAATAGCCCACCGCAATATAGAAATAATGTTAACTTGAACTATTAAATCCAGACTGTGATTGCAGTTGCTATAATCCAGACCATTTCAGAACAAAGACTGCTCCAAGCAAACGTTCAGAGTGCTGCTAGACCAGTAATACTGACCTATTAAGTGCATTCGTTCGTTTAAAATGGCTTAATTTTTGAACAACTTTATATTTTCGAAGAATAACTTATCTGAGCATATGGTGAATGATTTCTAGACGAAACTTGACCTTAAGCTGGTGATTATGTGAATACCAAATAAGCTTCATACTTTCATGGCCTTTGCTTTAGGGTACAAAGAAAATACCATTGAGTCTTAGATTTTTACCTACTAAGCATGAATTGCCAGTTAAATATGCTTCCAAACTCTTCTTGCCACATGCTGCTATCATCATAAATATGAAATTGAAGAGTTTATAACTCATATGAGTGTATTTCACTAGCTTGGATATCAGTGCCGACTCCCTACATTTAGTAGTCTTGCTATTCATAAACTTAAGGAATCTTGAAATAACCCTTTTAAGCAGATAATAGAATTCATCCTAAAATATAATTAATAGAATTTTATTTTTTACTTTCTTTTTGCTTTGTAGTAAGATTTCACAGACACTAGTAAAATAAGGATATATAAGTTCATTTATAAGCTCATTTATATAAAACAAATTTGAGTTAGTTACAAATACCAAATGTTCTGCCAGGCAATTATGGAAAAATCAATTTTATTGCATAAGTGGTATTCGGATAGCAGAATGGAGCAAATTCATTGCTGTCAGAAACCTGAGTATCTGTAATCTACACATGTTTCGTTTCGATTCATAATTCCATGGTATATTTTTCCTTGGAAATTAACCATAACTTGAAGAAGTCCAGAGTCATTTACCTAAAGGTTATAGTATGGGCTTCGGAAGCTGCATATTTACAGTGAGAATCCAATTGAAGTTTCAGGTGAAGCCATGAGGTTACGTCGAAACTATTATATAGCCTGGAGGCAGACGGCCCTTCGGAATTGTGATGAATTTTAATGCAAGTATCAAGTTTCCCTTTACCTTACTTGTAAATGGAGTCGTTATCAGTCCAATAGCTTTAAGACAAACTGAATAACTTTGATTATAATAAGGTATTTTTCATGGCATATTTACGGTTATCGTGCAATATGATGTAAGTAAGGTACGTAAAATGATAATGCTTCACGCTTTCTGGGCTCTGTAAGCAATGAATACTTATTAATGCTCGATCATACCCATTGAATAAGAGAAGCTATCAATTATGCTCACACTTTTTCCCATCTTGCTTCCTCGGTTGATTGGAAACCCTAATTATTCTATATAGGGCCAAATGAATATATCAGGCTAGACGAAACTTGACCTGTCGTAACCTCGGTAAAGTAGAGCCATTGATGAATATACGAGCAACTCAGGGAAAATGATCGATAGCTCAACTATAAAATAGTTTCCATGAAATTATTCATAATCCTGAATTTAGAAGGAAAATGTCCGTAAGTCGTTTAACGTTTTTATTTTACATTTCATACTAAATAGAGAACTACGCTTTCGGCACATATGGTTGCCTAGCCATCCTTCTCTGTTGCTAATTAACTAGTATATTATTCGCATGTAATTTTTAGTTTCTACTAGAGATATGAGATTCTTACATGTCAAATTCGTCTGAATTAAAAGGAAAAAAAGGACTACCAATGTGGTTAGTTTATGTTGTTGTGGAAAAAGCACAATGAGATTTGGTCCATGAAAAAATCCTATATAGTTTGCACGATGTAGTAAGTCCTGCTAAGAAATATAAATAAATTATTGTTAATATGACAACTGAGTGAGTTTTGTGCCAGCCATTAAATAAACTCGAAGCTCTGTTGGCTTTATTTTTTGAGTTCCTAATATTATTAACTAAATATTTCAGAAGCTTTTCGTTTCCAAGTCACCGAAAAATTGACATTTGTAACTAAAACACGGATTCAAAATAAATGTCATACTTAAAATCGTCTTGATGAGCATTCAAGCCAACTTAATTCTAGGACAAAATCCCAGAGGCTTGTTTCACAATTATGGCAGGGAAAAATGTTTAGAATTCGCATCAAACCGTGTTCTTCAAATCTGAACGAATCAGCTAAGAATAGCTTTAAAACGCAAAAATAGGCAAAATATAAAGATGACATGAGCAGACTTTCTACCAAGTCAGTTTCCCAAAAGTTTCGGAAAAATTGTAGCCATTCTAACTAGTACCCTCAAAACGCTATTTCCATTTGGTGATAACTTCTTTAACCCTTATAAAAGGTGCATGCTCCCCTTGAATGCAGGAGTCTAGTAGATAGAACTTGTTTGCGCCTATTCGCTAGGTTACTTCTCACTTTCTAGGCTTTTAGTACTTCTTTTAGGTTTGGCTGTATCAAGTCTCTACTATACAGGAAGGACCAATAACTAGGGTGACAGATGTGAAATCAGTGGCAGGCTTTCCTTGATAATTTATCTAAGAGGAGCTTTAGCATTCAAGGTTAAAAAATGCTCGGATTTGGTCATCAAAAATAAAGAGTGAATGCAAATGGTGCATTTCCAAATCTAACACTTTACACAATGGCATGTATCATTGTTAGGGAACACAGGAGAGAAAAGTGGTCTTGAGTTAAAGCAAGTCTCCTCCAACTCATAACACTGATGAGGCAATCATTTGTCAACAAATAAACATGATACTTATTTTCGTATTATGAGTAGGTTTTCGAAAATATCAGTAAATGTTATATATGTGA